TATTTGGAACAGTAGAATAAAAGCAAAACAGTACAAGGTACAGTTCATGGGACACGTACGAGACTTGATTTATCGTAGACGACTCGACAATGACAGCACTCAAACACGTATACCATAATTAGCAACACCACAACGTAAAGAACATATTACACTGCATTGGCTACCTGGCCCGCCTAATCTAACCGACACATCCCCCTTCATCACACCCTCCCCGCCGGTAAACCTTATGATCCCCATATCATATTGCCCCATAACTGCATCCCCTTCGTCCCCACCCCTGTGTTGAAATACTATGTTAAATACTGAAGATGATGTATTGTCCAAATACATTTCTAACAACATTAATTTGACTCCCACCCCCACAACCCCCATGTCCCCACCTTGTTTCGCATTATTTATCATTTGTCACTCACTTTCCTATTGTTGCTTATTTCTGTATTGTTTTATTTATACAGCTTACAAACAAACATTGTAAAGTCGTCATTTGATACTATTTTACTGTCATCATATATGTAAGGTACTTTGGTCCACAACGCAAAAATTCACCTCAATGACCCCTCATCCTTTTGTATTCATGTTATTATCCATAAATTAATACTTACAGTTGTTTTGTTAACTTTAATAACATGTACGGCCTCATTTGAACTCTTTTATGAGAACACTGTTAACTAATTTTTTACCTATAAAACTCCACTGTATCCCCACACCCCGTGATAACTACACGCCTACCCACCCCTAACCTGTCGGTACTAAACATCCAAACAAACATAAACACCGACTTGAACATACCAACCTTACACCCTCCCGCTAAATCGCTCACACAGCAACCTGTTCGTCAAACCCTCCCTCCCCCCCCCTTCCCCCATCCAGACACACTATAAATAGTAACACATCAGCATTTAGATCACACAGCACAGAATTTGACGCTTGACTTGGTTTAAACACACACAGACACCCTCTCCACGCCTCGTCAGACACATCTACCCCCCCTCTGTCCACTTTCCCCTCAGACATAATAACCCCACATCCCCTTTAACTGTTCTAACGACCCCACCACCCACCCCAACATCAAATTCGAATAACTATTTTCATTTATTTATTTAAAGTTCTAAATCTTGCTTCTTTCCCCTCATCTTTCACACAGCAACCTTTTGAAAACTCAACGCGACCAGTATATAAATAAACACTCTTTCAACTGGTCAACATAATTTGTTTCTCTACCTAGAAAATGCTTCACTGTCCCGTTGACTCTCCCCCCCCCCCCCCCGTCTTTGAACAATTTCCTCTCCCCTCCCCACCCGGACTCCTGACACTTTCATTTAACCTTCACCCCTTTTTCTGTTATCCCTTTCAATTTTGTATAATCACATACATGACATCATGTAAATATTCATTATGTACTTTTGCAAAACATTTCGTTTTCATTTGGTGTTCGAAATTATGTAAAGAATTTGATGTTGATGTACTTGTTTTAAATTGCAAATAAAGTTTAATTCTGTATGTTTGTAAAAGAAAAAAAAAACTTAAGAATTTTATGTTTATGGCCAGCCTAAATAAGGCTCTTAAAATTAAACTAAAAAAAAAAACTAAATAAAATGTAATGTTGAAAATTATGACAGCATTGCTTCACAGCATGAAAAAAAAAAGACTGATTACAGTAAAAAAAAAACAACCCTGTATCCCCATATCACAGGGGGCGCAACATTTTAAGCCGGAAGATCAAAAAGTTACAATTTACATAAGTTTCCAGTTTTTAAAGAGCCACTAACATTTTATTTTAATAATTTGGCATTTGATTAGGATTAGGTATATACTTTTGAATTCTGATTTAAAATAAATAGCTTTAAATATGAAAGAATATTTATACTTTAAAAGCATACTAATATTTCGCACAAAACATATTACAGTATTTTACCTAGCTCTGCTATGATAAAATTAGTAATCAAATAATATAATTATACAACTACCCCAATACACTTTAGAAGCCAATAACTTTTTTCCTTTCTTTACGGACACCACCGGTTCAGGCTCCCTAGCCAGAAAGCCCTAAACACGGTCAACTCCGACTACTGGCTTGGGTATCGGTCGCTTCTGTCTTCTGTTCTCACGGTGCTTATCTTCCTACCGACTGAACGCAGGGTAAACTCGTACCCCACCGGCTCAACCGTAGGAAGCTAATAAGTTTATAAACTACGTCACTTACATCGAATTAATGCATACTGACCGATAGAGAAATGCATTCTGAATAAGAATAATATTCCTCATTTAACGATATTCGAAAAAGTCGGCAGTGGCAAGAATGGAACCTTCGCCACGGGGCTGGCTACAGCACGGTTGTGGCTCTGGTGCCCAAGTGGCTGTCAGCTGTCCTTATACTTTGTACCTCACCTTCTCTCACTGTTCTCTGATGAGTGTTTTTAGCCTGTTTAAAGTTGTTTTTCTTTATAATAATTTTAATGAGTTTTGAAAATAATTGAAAATAATGATTAATATTTGTGTCGCATTTTGACATCAAAAGAGCCGCATGCGGCTCGCGAGCCGCAGGTTGCCGACCCCTGCCATATCATATTGCCGCCTTAACTGCATCTCCTTCGTCCCCCATGATCCCACCCCTGTGTTGAAATACTATAATAAATACTGAAGATGACGTATTATCTAAATACATTTCTAACAACATTAATTTGATTCCCCCATGTTCCCACCTCGCTTCGCATAACTTATTATTTGTCATTAAGTTTCCTATTGCTGCTTATTTGTGTATTGTTTTATTTACACAGCCTACAAACTAACATTGTAGAGTAATTAGTTGACACCATTTTTCTATTATCTTATATGTACGGTACTTTGGTCCACAACGTACAAAATGACCAATCCTCCTTTTGTATTCATTTTATTTGGTCAAATTGGAAAATTCTGTAAAAGTAAAGCGCTAGTTAAAGTTTAAATACAGACTTTGCAGAAACATTCCACGTGGCACAAATCCAGTCAGGTGTTCCACAAGTAAAGCCACGTGATAAGTAAAGTCATGTGACACGTAAAGCCACGTGATAAGTAAAGTCATGTGACAAGTAAAGCCACGTGACAAGTAAAAGTCATGTGACAAGTAAAGCCACGTGACAAAGTAAAGTCATGTGACAAGTAAAGTCATGTGACAAGTAAAGTCACATGACAAGTAAAGTCACGTGACAAGTAAAGTCATGTGACAAGTAAAGCCACGTGACAATGCGAGTCTTACCCCCAAGCTAAACAATGTAACCAGTAGAGAGAAGCAAATGAACCCCAAGATCGAGTCTAGATAGGCGAGCAGTTCGACTTGAATGCAAGAATATATTAATTATGCTCGTAAACGTGGGACACCATGCAGTTTTTATTGAGCCGTAGAACTGGTTGGTGACCTACTTACCAGCCTTATAGAGCTTCAACACAACCAGCGTTTCTTCCAGACTTTTTTCTCTGGGGGGGGGGGGGGGGGGGCACTTGAAATTTTCGGGGGGGGGGGGGCGGTAGACTTTCTTCGGGGGGGGGGGGCGGACACAGTTAAAAGTATATATTTTCTATATAAATTATATACATTTAATTTCGTTCGCGGGGGGGGGGGGGGGGAGGGGCGGTAAAAACATTTCGGGGGGGGGGGGGGGTCTACGCCCCCCGAAGAGATGCCTGGAAGAAACTATGAACACAACTCTTTGACTATATGTATGTATAGTATATATTTATACCTGAAATACCTATAGCTTTAGTTGAAACAGCTACTCTGTCAAATTCTAAACAACTATTATATTTGTTTTTTAATGTTACTGTAATACTAAGTCAAAAACAAGTATACTTATTATAATGCTGTAATAAAACAAATAGACTGCTATAGGGCTTGTAAGTCTCTTTACTTCTCTTACTTAAAATTTGAAATCTCGTTAGCCAGGGTCAGGTGAATTCTCAAACTATCATTATCAGTTTTTACGATTTTAAATTACTTAACAATAGCGTAAGTAACTTTTACTTCTGTTTTCTACCGATTTTATAAACATATTCACAATTGGTTTTAAAGATACTAGCTGGCTAGTATGATAAGAAGTTGGTGACCTACTTACAAGCACTATAGACTGAATACAAATATCCATTGCTATACATTGATTGTATTATTCATGTCAAACTGTTGTTGATACAGAATTCATAAATTCTATTTTGTACCCGTTGATATTCTCGTTACTAGTGATGGAAAAAAAAGATCTTTTCATTCCAAATTCTTTCCTTTAAAGCAAATGATGGATTTTAAAAAAAATTCATAAAAAACGTTTTAATAACAAGCTTTTATGTAATGATGCACTAAAAAGTAGAAAATAAATTATAGACTACTATTTAAATTACTATAAAGAAAAGCGTGGGTCACTTTAGTATCTATTGGATACCTTTACTAATGTTAAGGAAGACACCCACGCTTTTCTTTATAGTAATTTAAATAGTAGTCTATAATTTATTTTCTACTTTTTAGTGCATCATTACATAAAAGCTTGTTATTAAAACGTTTTTTTATGAATTTTTTTTCAGTACTTTACATGTTTTATCTACAATAGAGTTACATGACTAAAAACCATTGCGCGCCTACTGAATATCACGTTCAGTAGGCGCGCAATGGTTTTTGAACGCAGCCATTACGTGGTCGTGATGGCGCAGCTATTGATGACGCGTGTGGTGTGGTTGGCTAGACATGCCTACTAATTCGGTCCAAATTTTAATATTATTCATAAAAAATCAATTAGGCATCCAATTAAGTCAAATTTAGTTTCAGATTGCACTGTCTTCATGTCTTGACCCACGTGCCAACTGTGAATCGTGTCGGTCAAGTAGAACTGTCCGAATTTTCACTCCTGCGTTTCCGTCTAGACTGACGACAGACTGTCGACAGACAGAGGAAGTGAGTTAAATAAAAGCTTGTAATGAGCCTCTACTGACATACTTTCCTAGTGTATAGTTTTGTTTAGCTAGAGAAACCGTGAATCAAAATGAAGCTGTTGGTAACTTTATTGTTGTATTATATTACACGCGATTGTAATTCATGATATTTACAAATCTATGATTTAATCGTGTGTTTTTCCTACCGTATTATCGAAATTCCCCATATGGATCGACAGCACTGTTTCGCCATACACTGATGAAAAGAAAGATAATGCGGGCGTGACGCCGGGGCGCTTACCAAATGGGCGGCAGAAGTTTGGGCGGCCGCCAACCAGTTGACGGTCAAGTGGGACAGGCACGGCTATAACAATACACTTTGTGAAATACAATTACTCTAATTACAATAATGTAAGAAGTAAGTATTCTTCAGGTCAGATGCTACATGAGAGCTGATGAGGTGAAGTTTATTCTTATAACACAGTTAACTACCACGTGTCAACTTGTTATGCGCAATGTGACCCAGTGACTCAAATTACAGAATGCTTTTCTGTCTAAATTTGCTTCCATAGCCTTTGTCCAACCAAGAACAAACTACAAGACAGCTGTTGTTTGCTTTTGAATTTTTTCTCTTCTATATGGGTTGCTGTCCCCATCTGTCGAGCCTCAACTGCCCGAGAGAAACATTTCTAATAACTGAGGTATTTTATTTCGATGACAGTTACCCAGTGTTTCTTCCAGACTTTTTTCTCGGGGGGGGGGGGGGGGGGGGGGGGGCATCTGGAATTTTCGCGGATGGGGGCGGACTATAATTTCCGGGGGGGGGGGGAGAGACGGACACTGTTAAAAGTTAAAAGTATATATTTCCTATATAAATTCCATTTCGTTCGAGGAATGCCCAGTCTTCCATACTTTACCCTCCCCTTGTGAAGTTATTGTTGAACACCGACAGACCAGCTTCTAACACTGTATTGTTTTTTTACTGCTAGCAGACATGTCAATATAGGAAGGCGTGGCATAAGTGGTAGAGCGCTAGGCTGCTGACCCAAAAGTCTCGCGATTGAATCCGGGTCCAAATATGTAGATCGTGCCTGAGTCCACCCAGCTCTGATGGGTACCTAACTAATGTTAGGGAAAGGGAAAGTAAAGGCGGATGGGCAAAGTGCTGACTACACCGTCCCTTCATAAGCCAACACTACTTCATCTGCGCAGTTGTCGCTAGGTCTAAAGCGGATTCTTTACAAATGTAAATGCAGCGTAAAATGTATCTAGATCTAGATGTTTTAAAAAGAAACAAGTATTTGAAATATATGTATAACCCTGATCATTTCCTTGCTAATCGATACCCATCTTTAGTTCTGTAAAAATTGATCTGCATTCATTACATTCCTTTATTCTGACCAGGCAACATCTGCTTTTCTTGAGCCATATTTTTAGAGTGTTCACCGGTATTGACCCCCCCCCCCCCCCACACCTTTTCTTGCAAGTATTTTTTTCTATATATGATGTCAGTTAGAGGAGAAATATATAATTAACTTAATATTTTTTTTAAGGTACACGAGATAAACATTTCAATTCTAGCCAGAATAAAATTTTTGTGTGTGACATGTATGAAATTCGTAGTCGAATTACTGAGAGAATTCTAAGTCATTTTTTCAAAAAAATCTCAGTTCATTAACCTCGCGTCGCGAGTACCTATACGTGGGGGGGGGGGGGGTTCCTGTAGGAGCATCCTGTAGTTAATCCAGCACTGAATGGTCCCTGGCATGGCTCTAAACGCTTGTGAGTCCACTCAGCTTTAAAGAGTACCTGGCGTACATTCTAAGTCCATCCACACATTCTGAATCCAGACATACTTGATTGAGTCGTGTAACTTGATTGAGTCATGTGACTTGATTGAGTCATGTGACTTGATTTAGTCATGTGACTTGATTAAGTCATGTGACTTGATGGAGTCATGTGACTTGATTTAGTCATGTGACTTGATTGAGTCATGTAACTTGATTGAGTCATGTAATTTGATCGAGTCATGTAACTTGATTGAGTCATGTAACTTGATTGAGTCATGTAACTTGATTGAGTAATGTAACTTGATTGAGTAATGTAACTTGATTGAGTCATGTAACTTGATTTAGTCATGTAACTTGATTTAGTCATGTAACTTGATTTAGTCATGTGACTTGATTTAGTCATGTAACTTGATTTAGTCATGTGACTTGATTTAGTCTTGTAACTTGATTTAGTCATCTGACTTGATTTAGTCATGTAACTTGATTTAGTGATGTGACTTGGTCATGTGACTTGATTTAGTCATGTAACTTGATTTAGTCATGTGACTTGATTTAGTCATGTGCCTTGATTAAGTCATGTGAAATCCTCTTGGAGCTAAGAGCTGCAACTGCACTTTTCCATCAGACTAGCTTCTTGGCGTTTCTCTTCAGTTGAGTTCATGTCATTCCCCAGCCCTTACATCACTTTCTATAGCCCTCCAGTATGTTAATTGTCCATCCGATATGTCTGTGGGTTCTAGTCTACTGCCTGTGGCCGATATTTTCCTCTCATCTCCCCAGCGTGTGTCCAATCCATGATCACGTGAGAGTTTTGATCACATCTTATCATTAGATAAAATAAGACACAATAAACTATGACATCACTCTACACCAGGGGTCTCCAAACTTTTCAGCCGGAGGGCCGCTTTAACTATCAAATATCAGTTCGGGGGCCAGAATTTCTTTAAGTTATATTTTCAGGGTCGTGGCGCCCCCCCCCCCCCCCCCGAAGAACGTCTACCGCCCCTTGCCCCCCCCCCCCCCCCCCCCCACAACGAAATATAATTTATATAGAAATATATACGAATTTCAAGTTTCCTCCCACCCCCCCCACCCCCACCCGAGGTCCACGTTTGCTCTCAAATTTTTCTTCACCTATTTCATTCTTGAAAATGTTTGTTCACACAGGTATGTTGTTCGAAAATTTGAAAGGTACTTTGATGCAAAAGTTTTAATGTTAGGAAAGTCTTCCTTGTGCAAAAACGTATGAAAACCCATACGCCCTTCTTTGAACGTGTCTCTAAGGAAGTCATTTTCTTGCAATTCAATTACCTCCAGCTGCTGTTCATCTGGGCAACTGGCCACATTTGCTTCAAATGAGCTTTGAAACAGTCTCACTTCTTCTGCCTTTGAGTCCAAGACAGAAAACCGCTAATGAAACTGCAACTGGAGGTCTTAAACGATATGCCGTGGGGAACTCAGTGGTTGCTTCAGCCGTAAAGACCTTTCACTGCTGAAAGTGTGTCAAGCTGTTAGCCTGTACTTGTTCCAACAACATGACAAGTTTGTATCTAAAGGCTTGTAGATGGGTGTATAGATCAGAAACTAGATTTCACTTTCTTGCCGTTTTAGGTTCAGAAAATTTAAATGACTAGTTATGTCTGCAGCAGAGGCCAATTTCTATAACCACTCTTCATCAGACAATAATGGCTGTGACTTGCCTTTACTATTAGGAAGTCACCTATTTCTTTTTTTAGATACTCTGCTCAGAATTTTCTCACAAAATTAGCAATCTTACTGATGTGAAATATGGTCTTTGAACTATCTATGGTTAGATATCCTCTTCGGTAACAGTGTCATACATTATATGTAGTGAAGTAGTTTAGAGGTGGAACAGCTGTCCACCGACTCATCCATTGCAATTGAAAAATGGCGAAACTTGCTTGAATTTTTCGCTATTTGAGTCGCAATGTTTTCACCAATGTCTGCAACACGGCGAGTAATTGTATTTGCACACAAAGCTACATTTTTAAATAGTTTTGAATTTTCTGTGCAAATTAAGCTCTTCAGCCACCTCCAAAAAACATTTAATCAGTGGACATAAAGATCGTCGCGGGCCGGATAAAATGACCTCGCGGGCCGGATCCGGCCCGCGGGCCGTAGTTTGGAGACCCCTGCTCTACACTGTTTGGCCAGTACAATTAATACTCATAACTTACGGCAAACGATAACCCAACCTTAAAATCCTTATTGTCGGGCATGTCGAAGTATTTTCGCTTGTATTGATAGAAAAACCCAGTCACCGAACTCTTGACAAAACGCCTTAACGCAACAACTAGACCTAGTCAGCGGCGTAGCGAGGTCGGGTGTCACCCGGTGCGGTACTTAATGGTGTCATCCCCCCCCCCCCAGAGGCGTAGTGACCCTTCCCGGGGACAAACTTTCAAATTTTCGATTTGCACCCCCTCAAGTTTTTCTCTATATATTTTACTATTTTTTGCCTTGGTGTCACCCCCCTAAATGGTGTCACTCGGTGCGGTCCGCACCCCCCCCCCTCGCTACGCCTCTGGACCTAGTGCTAATCATTTAACAGCTTAAGTAATTTACAACTAGTGGGGTATCGCCATATCAGCTATACTAACATACCATGTCAGCTATTTTAGTGTTAACCCAGTACGTTCGTGTAAATAAAGGGAAACCATTCTTGTATTCACACTAAACTACTGGGTGCATGGGCTTCATTACAACATGCGCAGTAATTAAATGTGTATACCTTACCAAAAATTAATTCCTTTACTAGCTCTTGTGCATGAACATCGTTAAACGAAGCTGACATTGAGCCGGATTAGCTAAAGCATGTATTAAATTATTGTGATTAGCAACAGAGGCGTAGCGAGGGGGGGGGGGGGCGGGGTGCGGACCGCACCGGATGACACCATTTAGGGGGGGGGGGACACCAAGGCAAAAAATAGTAAAATGTATAGAGAAAAATTTGAGGGGGGGGGTTGCAAATCGAAAGTTCGAGGGGTGGAGGTGCAAATCGAAAATTGAAAGTTTGTCCCCGGGAAGAGTCGCTACGCCTCTGGGGGGGGGGGGGGGAGTGACACCATTAAGTGCCGCACCGGGTGACACCCAACCTGGCTACGCCACTGATTAGCAAATCTCTTAACAAGTTAATCTACTCAATAAATATTTGCAATAAAAACAAGTTCTCATGGTTACGTCCCTTTAATGAAGTGAAGACAAAAAAAAAGACGGCAGGGGAAGTAACACATTGTAGACCATATTAGACATTTAGAAGGTGGTGGTAACATAAAATAGGGTGAGGTTGTTCATGTACGACTCGTTATTTC